TAATTCTGAAATTATAAGGTGTAAGAACTGAGAAAAATAGTCCAGTTTGCTTTTTTTTTTGTTACCTCTAAAAAGCACATGAAATTTGGAGTAAAAAACATTGGAGACCAAATAGTATGTAGTTATTTCCCCAGTGTCTATTTTTAAGATTTCGATAATGATTAGCCTCAGAAGGTTGTCAAGAAGTGATGGAAGCGGCGCAAGAAATTAGTCTCCAATAAGGACCAAATGAGGCATCTCGACAGGGGCAAGCAGAATAGAACTAGTAATGCTCAAGCACAAAAACTGAAATAGTCCATGTCAATCCAACTGCCAACCCACTCAGATTAACCCATCACGATCTTTTTGGCCTTATAATTATCATCTCAAACAATCAGCTGCGCATTTAACATACATAATGCAGTATCTCACTTGTCTCAAACTTAAATGAGAACCAAGCGAAACGAAGGAAAAAAGCCTTCTTGAACATAGAGGACGGAGCGAATAATCAACACTCACCTGTCACGCTAAGAACATCAACGGAGAAAACAGACATCAGATCAACCGACACAACCGCAAAAGAGAATAAAGGGAAGTCAAAGCACGCAACATTCCAACAGATCCGATCAACAAACAACAGAAAACGCAAGAAAACATAGTGGAACCTGAACACATAACTTCAAAGAACTCAACTTTTCCTCCGTCAACATCGAGTCCTCCAAAGGGCAAATAGAACGCGAATTGTGAGAACCATGGCGGATCCAACCCTCGAAAAAAAAAATCCAAAAAATTACGGAAAAGATAGGAGTAAATACAAGCAGACATGAACATACAACAAAATCCAAAAGATTTCCATCGAAAAATTGCAGAAAAAGAAACAAAATCTACACCCAAATATCAGATATTTTCCCTAATCGAACATGAACCTCTAACTCCTCGCAGTCTTGGCCCAAAAAAAGAACAACTTGCAACCGTACCTCTCAAGAGAGGAAGATGGAGAAGAAACAGATCAAGAAGAAGGAGAAGAACGACACCGAGGAACTCAATGCGAAGGAAGGCATTTCACTGACATCGAATTCGAATTAAAGCCGTTCCATCACCCCGCTCCTCTCTCTCTCTCTCTCTCTCTCGGAGTGCATAAAGATATACATCTCGGGAAGCGAGGGTCAGCGGTCTGCTGTCCCCTCCGGCATCTCGGAACCCCCGTAACCGGTACCTGAACGCACCCAAGGGGCCGCCTTCAAAAAGCGTGCCTCTCAAGTAATTCGAACGCACCACGCCGCAAACTTTACGCGTCCGGCAGTACGCGAAGGCCCATGGGCAACGTACGACCTTTAGATCCTAATCCGACGGCTGCGGCGCTCACTGTATCAGTTTAGCCTAAATGGATCCCCGCCCTCACGTCCCACGCCCCATGTGGCCACACGCCTTCACCGCATTCGCTCTCTCTCTCTCTCTCTCTGCGTGCAATCAGTTTTGTCTTCACTCCATCCATCAATCGGTAGGCACTTGACGTGGCTTGTGATTTTGACTCTGATAGAAATAGAGTCTAATCAAATTAATTAGTCACTAATCCACTAAATTAAATTAGTTCATCGTTCATATCATACATAACTAAATGTTTGAGTCGACTACATCAATTTGTTCTACATAAAATGACATCTCAAATCAAATAAATATATTTTGTGATTGAGCATTATTTTACCTAATAAAGAAGCTACAGGAAGATTGATGGAAGAATAAGGATCAGAGGCAGACAAGGCTTTCTTAGAAGGAAGCTAGAAACAAGGCATGTGAACTATAGGTCACCATCCCCAGGAACACAACAACAGTTACCTTGACCTGTGCCAGAGAGTTTAGTAGTAGTAGATCACCAACATTAATCCATGGCCATGCCCAAGAATGATGATAAAACTCTATCTTCATACTCCAAAAATAGTTATACTTTTCTTCTTGAAATTATATATACATATATATATAATAGAGCTTCAACAAGTCATAATAAGGATTAAAGCATGACACATCATCCCCTTTGTCATAGTAATGTTCTTGACACTTGGACTAAATTATTTGTGAAATAGTGAATATTACATCTCTAATCTTGTAATGTTAGCATAATTGAGGTGATAACATGTCCCTCCAAAAATTTCAGATTAATCATTTATAGATGTGACTAACTTTAGCTACTTTGAGCTAAAAGAAGAAGAATATAATAATATTATTATTATTATTTTTTCAAATATGTCTAACATTCTTACCATCATGTGATAAACTTCTAAAGGGTATTAAACTCTAATATTTGGTAGGATATATATGTGTTGTATTATAATCTATAGGGGCAAATACACTGTTTCCAAACTCTTCAAGGATAGATTTATAGAGCTTCCTTTAATAAGAGAGTAAAATAAAAATATCCAAATTCACCTAAGTTTACTAGTCTAATATGCATCACAATAGTCATGGTTAATTAAGTAGTTTCTTAGCTTTTATTTATATTCTACATAATGCATCACTACTAGGAACCTCATAAGTGACAAAAATAAATCTAAGTGTAGAATTAATCTTAACTAGTTATTTGAGAAGAGGAAACACATAGGATACTCAAATTTTTTCTCTAGTTTTTCCAGCCACATAAGCAAAACACTGATACATCACATTTGTAGTAGCAATTTTCAGTACACTCATAATATTGAATCAAATAACATATGTCTTAAGGCAAATAGAGCATCAGGAATCAAAGGATAATACAAGTAATCCATGAAGGATGTCTATCTGCCATATAAGAATAAAAAAACAATATATATATATTTTGCATGATTGATTTTATTGGACTAGAAAATGGTCCATCCTCATGATTAAAGATGAAGAGTAAGGTCAATTTCATCTTCATGTTGGTCTCCACCATTTTTGACATCAGAAGGATTATGCATCAAGGATGATGAGCCTCCCATGGTTGTTTGCAGTCTGTCTTCTTCTTCAAATCTCATGGTAGGATCATGTTTTGAAGGCTCGTTTTCTGGGAATGCTCCAAGGCAGTAGTACTTTCTCTTGTTGGAGGAAGAAGAAAATGGGAACAGCTTATGAACATTTATACCAGAGAGTGCAGGAAAGAGTGGCACATCAGTTTTGGCTCTTTTGACAGCTTCTCTCTCCTTTCTATGGCTATTTTGATGACCACCAAGTGCTTGTTTGCTTGGGAATATCCTGTCACAGAACTGACAGCTGAAACCCCTCCTTCCCTCAGTATGATCCATCCTCAGCTTCTTACCAGCCATTTCAGACACTAGCAAGATTTAATGTGAAAAAACCATGTTAATATGAGGAATGATCCCCTTGTTAAAACTCAAAAATCATGATATGATATGGTGCATGATCATCTTTTTTTTCTTCCCCTTGTATCAGTTTAATGATCATATGAAGTATGAATCTGATGGATCATATCATTCTACATGATCAAGAATAAAAATGATGAAGTTACTGTTGCAGTGTGTTTATCATGTAGGGTGGCAAACAACAAGCAAGCATAGTATACAATGGTCTACAAGTGATTGTGAAGAGCTAAACATGAAGAACTAAGAAATATGTGGGTGGAAAAGTGGTGTTCCATTCATAGAGTTTGAAGTCATTGATAACTAGCATGTTCATAAAAGTAGCAACATATAGGATTATTAGCTATATATATATAAAGATATTTAGTTAGATCATATGCAGAAAAATTACAAAGGGAACTATTTGCTATGAATCACAAATCAAGTAAAACAATAGTAGAGAAGAAAATTAATGTGAAACATATGGTATCTACCTTTAGCTTCTAACAAAGAAGTTTGTGGCTCACAATGGCATCTCTGGTGAATGCAATCCTACCTCTACATGAACCAACAATATATGCTTGCTTAGCTGAACAAGACAAGAATGGAAGGATTTGATGATTGTATGGTAAGTGATTAATTGATAGCAAAATTGGTTTCCTTAAGTAATTTGATTCATCCCCCTTTCAATATCTATAGTAGGAACCCCTTGAACTCATTGTTACCAATTATATGTTTCATACTTATTATGAACAAATCTATCCGAGTATATTAATGCAAATGGCAAGTTATCATTGAAAGGTTACGTTTGTAGTCATCTCTTGCACATCAAATTAAGTTCATCTGATATGGAATTGTGGCAAATCCACAATCGTAATTTGAGGCCACAAACTCATACTAGTCCTTGAAGACATATTGATTGTCAACTCAAGTAGTAAATCATATGATTAATCATGATAATGAATATCATAAATTAAATTATGAAGAATCTTTCTTCTGTAACTAAAGTAATAATATGTGCAACAAAATTAGTCTAAGAATATAGATTTAGATGTGTGGGTTTAGTAGAATAGGTAGAATTAATAATATTTTCAGAATCATTACTGAAATTATACCAATTATAAATATAAATCACTTGAAATATATTTAAATTAATAAATAATCATATAAACCCTTAGCATAGTGATGAGTAATTTAAGAGACTTGTGTCTAATTATGAGCCAATTAGGATATTAAAAGAGTAATGTTACACTCATATTCAATAGAGTCATACTCTTATTCAATACCAAAGTGAATTGAGGATAGCCACAAAAACAACTACTAAAATTCAAATATAAACACTTTGAAATAGCTGATTAAGCTAATTGGAATATAAACAAAAGAAAGTAAGTGATAATAATTAAAATGTAATATTAATTATTATGATGTTGGGATATGGATACGTAAATAATCATTGTATGAAATGAACAAGAGGGACCCACATGGGTCCCTGCTTTCATATGGATGGTAACGAGTCGGGTGAACATGGCTGGAAACCCTAAAACCTTCACCCGTTGCTCTCATTCTCACTCTCAAATGCTATGTGGGTCCCTTGTCTCATAAGGAAGGTAATTTGTTTGGTAACTATACATGGGTAAGTAAAGTATTGCTGAACGTGAAAATGGCTGCAAACCCTAAATCCTTCACCCGGTTCTCTCTCTCTCTTCTCTCCCTCTCTCTCTCTCTCTCTCTCCACTGTAACCACCCTAGTCCGATCGATCGGGCCATGGCGCTCTGCCTCCTTTTGTACTTGGTCTCCGGCTACTCGGTGTTCCACGCCTACGACGTCGACGAGATCAGATCGGACAGAGCACAGAGGCCTTCCGCAACTTCGTCCTCGACCTCACCCGCTTCGGTAAGGTCGTCAAGCTCGTCGCTTTCCACCCCTTCTCCTTTACCCTGGACGCTCTCAACCAATGCAACGCCATTTCTGAAGGTGAGCTTAAAAAAAAAAAATCGATTTTTTTGTTTATTCCTTTTGCCCCGAATTAAAACTGTGGCAATTTTAGATATATTTTTTTATGGGGGTGCGGTATTAGGGCTTATTACCGAGGAGCTGAGGAACTTCTTGGAGATTAATTTTCCAAAGGTGAAAAAAAGGGAAGAAGGCAAAGTTCAGCCTTGGCATTGCGGAGCCGAAGGTTGTGTCAGAGATATTTAAGGTGAGTAAGATTTGTTGCCAGAGCAGGCCATTTTCTATGTTTAGCTTCATGTATTAAGCAGGTAGCTGAACGTATACATAAGTGTTTTTACACTTGGAGGCTTGAGCCTTTGGTATAGTTATACATGAAAACATCAGGAAATTATACTGGCTGTGGAAATTGATTTGATCCATTAAAAGCTTTATCATTTGTGTCAAATTTGGTTTAGTGATCCTGAATAGGGTGATGCTGAAATCTAATTGCAAACACATCCCTCTTAAAAGATGCTGCTGCTGTCTGCCACTTATCAGGATGGATCACAACACCTCAATAGTAAAAGTTAACTTGAAATTGGAGATTTAGATGATTAGTTGGTTAGCAATTTCTAGAAATATTGTTCTACTACAAATTTGTAGGGTAATGCAAGTCAAGGTTCACAATTTGTATACTGTACCAGTCAGAACTTGGACCGGTATTGTACCTGTCAGGGCTTGGTAACAGTGTACTAACTATCGGGGTGGGCAGGTACATACCAAGTTTTAAAAAAAAAAAGCCTGAAGAACAGAAACTGCTTGGTACATAGCTTGTACTGCACTGTACCTGACGATATTGATCCTCTATCGGGTCATACCAATCCTGTACCAGGTGTACTGCACAGTACAGGGCCTGTACCATTCGGTACAAGTCTGGTGTCAGGTGTACTGCCTGGTTTATACTGTCCGTGCACCAGTAACTCTTTTGGACCAGTAAAATACCCTCATACAGAACTGTACCAGGCCGTATTGCAAACCTTGATGCTAGGTATAATACGGGACTCTTGAGTCCTAATCTAATAAACTTGTCCTTTGGATGGTTTCAGATCTTAGCTGTGTCAGTGTACTCGCTGAAACATTAGAACTAGATGTAGCCTTGTTTTCTCAGGTAGTGACATAGAATGTTCTTCTTGTTCTTGTTTTCTTTAAACCTTACATGATTCAATTGGAGTCATCTCAGTTACCTTTACAAAAGAAGCTTAAAATTGAACAAGAAAATTAAGATTTTAACACTGTAGTCCTCTTCTTAGATGCAAACTCAAAACAGTCATATAGTATTCTTTTTAATACAACTTGATCTATCTTCAAAACATGTTTTTTTTGTTGTTGGTAAGAAATAACTTGCCTTGGTGCCACTAAACTTACTAAATTGTATACAAAAATATCATTTAAGTAGATATATGGATCATCTTGTCCTATTCACCAAATAGAAAGAATTTAGTCTTTGAAAGAAAGAAACATAAATTTGTTTTGAGATCAGTTCATGAGGTTCTTACATGTTCCAAATGATATAGAAGTATATGGCACCAGAAACAAGCTATCAGGAGTTAATGGATCTCAGAATACTTTTAATTGGTAATAATCTATCTTATTAATAACTATTAAAGTTTGACATATAAAAATAATGTCTTAGTGCCATTAAAACTTGCTAGTCCTCACCTTAGAAGATATCATGGTCATTTTGTTTCATTTATCAAAGACAAAGGATATATAAGAATAAAAAAAATTGTTTGGATATCATTTCATGAATTACATTATCTGACTTGACCTTTGTAACTTGAACATAATTATTTGTAAAATAGGGGATTTTACATCTTTATTTCTGCAAAGTTTACAAATAACATAGTTGCTCTTAGAAATTTTAATGTATCATTCATGTCCCTGCAAAAATTGATATCTTCCATCTAGAAGAAAGATTTAGGTTACTCACTTGTAAACTGTGACTAATATTAGCTAGTTCAAGCGAAAAGAAGAATTATAGAAAAATAATATTTTTTTAAATATCTCTAGCATTCTTACCATTTTTTTAAAACCAACTTCTTCATGGTATTAATGTCAGTTAGAATTTTAATTAATAGTCAAACGACAATCAAATAATAGAGAGAAATAATATTTGGTGGACCATATAGGAGCAAATATAACATTTCCAAATTCTTCAAGGGTAGATATCTACAGCCTCTTTTAATAAAAGAGTAAAATAAGAATCATCAAGTTCATTCAAGTTTAATAGTTTTATATGCATTGCAATAAGTCATGGCTAATCAAGTAATTCTTCGATTTCTATTTCTATTCTACATAATGCATCAATAATAAGAACCTCATAAGTGATAAAACAAATATTCAAGCAAGAGAAGCCATGTCAAATTAATGTGAAAATGATCTTAACTAGTTGTTTGAAAAGAAGAAATACATAGAGCAATCAGAATCTTTCTCTAGTTGTTCATCCATAGAAGTAAAAACAATGATTGACATCTATAATACTATTATTGTAGTATTGATTTTTCAACAAACTTGTAATATGGAATCGAGTAACATACATCTCAAGGTGCATTGGGAATTATAAGTTAAAGGCATAATCCATGAAGGATGTCTATAATCCATATAAGAATGAAAAACACATGACTACTTTGCATGATTATTTTTATTCGACGAGAAAAGAGTTAATCCCTGTATTCAAATATGAAGATTAAGGTCAATTCTATCTTCATCTTGGTCTGTGCCATTCTTGACATTGCAAGCATTCAACAGAGAAAATGAACCTCCCATGGTTGCTTTCCGTGCTTCTTCTTCTTGAAATCTTATAGTTGGACCGTATTCTGCAGGCTCATTGCTGGAAATGTTCCATGGTTGTAGTAGTTTTTCTTGTTGGAGTGAGAAGTACGGGGGAATAGGTTTCTAACACCTGTACCAGAGAGTTGTGGGAGGATTGACACATCTTTTTTGGCTTTTTTAGCAGTGTCCCTCTCCTTTTTATGGATGCTTTGATGAACCCCTAATGCTTGCTTGCATGTGAGTATCCTGTCACATTACTGGTAGCTGTAACTCCTTTGCTCCATAAGATCTGTTCTAAGCTTCTTATCAGCCATTTGATAAACTAGAAAAATATACTAGGAGAAAAACATCTTAAAAGGTGATCTTGGAATTATCTCCTTGTTAAAATTTATAATGACCTTTGTTTTCTTCTACTTATACTAGTTCAATTATCATATAATTGATGAGGCCCCTGTTATGTATAGTTTTGTAGTTGAATATGAAGGATCATATCATCAGAACACTGAACTTGTTGGTACAGAAGAATTGAGAATTTTGTAGGTGCCACCTGATGCTCTGGAAGTAATCAACCTGGTAAATGAAACGAGTGGTCTTCCATGGAGTTTGAAGTTATTAATAAATGATATTTTGAGGCTGGTAAACAATATCAACGTATTAAAAGTTAGGCATAGTCACAAGTGTGATCTGTGTTGCACATAATATATCTAATTTTGGTAAACTGGAGAATTCATCCTACTTGTGGGGATCCGAATTATAGATATTTTTATATATGGAATCATCTGTTACATCACGTGATTAATCGACGGAAGTTTTACAGAAATGTAACAAGGAGAATGATTAGAACAAAGATCTACATAGGAAAAGAACAAAGAAATAATGTAGACAAGAAATTTAGTTTGATCATTTGCAGAAAAAAGATGACAGAAAGAACTAATTTTTATGAATCACAAATCAAGCAAAACAATAGCATAAACGAAAAATAACATAGTAAAGAGTAGGGAGTGTGCACACCCACCTTGAAAGGAATTCTTCATGCACAATCATCTACTAGCTTCTAACACAAGAATTTGTGACATGTCTTGCTTGTACATGAACCAACAATATATGCCAGCTGAATGTTACAAGGATGGAAAGATAAGATCATTATATGGTAAATAATCAATTCATAGCAAATTTTCTTTCCTAAGTAATTTGATTCATTCCCCTTTTAACAAACCCCTTGAACTCAGTGTTACCAATTTTATATGCTCATGATGATGAAAATAATAAAAAAAATGCCTTTTTCTGTTTCCATTGGAAGGTTACAGTTGTAGTTATGGCTTACACTTCAAAATTAATCTGATATCTATTTCTTCACCATCATACTTTGAGGTCACACATATATTAGTCCTTCCAATCAATGGCCACCCACTTTCCTTTGTTACAAGTAATATTAAATATCAAACTTGATAGGAATGCATTATTTAATTCTTTTATTTTGGCAATCATGAAAAATTCATAGCATAAATAAAATTATGAAAAGCCTATCTGTAATGCATTGGGTAGCTAAGTAATAATATGTGTAAAAAATTAGTCCAATGATGTCGATTCACATGTGTGAATATAGTAAAATAGTAGAATAATTATTATTTTCATCCTTGAATAATATTTATATTAAGAGGTATAATTTAATTTCACATGTGTTTTAATTTGAAGCAGCTGATTAACCTTTACCATATTGAAATATCAACAAAAGGTAAATGTTAGTAATTGAAATGTAATATTACAAAATTATAATGTTGGAATATAAATAAATAATATGTAAGTAATCATAATTGTATGCAATGAATCATAGACAATGAATTTACCTGGATTCTGGGACCCACATGAGTTCCTGCTCTCATATTTTAGGGGTATGATATGAGGTTTTCAAGTTTCAAATCATTTGTATATGCATGCATGAGGGAAAGGGTGTTGATGGAGTCCTACTGGATCCAATGAACTTATCATGCAGTTTTGCATTCAGGATCCATATAAATCCTTCAGTATAATTCCTTGTAATCAGACAAAATGTAAATACATTTTGGATCCTTAAACCTATTAATTCAAAAGATGTACATACCTTCGCATTATTTAGGTTTGGATCACAAAGAACACTAGCAAGTTTTCATACCAGCAAGTCAACTTTATTCTCTTCCACCTTGGAACACCATGAAAGATGCCGTCCAGCTATCACTTATGATTGCTGTCTCCTTGAAGATATATAGCAAAATAGCAGCACCCTGACACCCACCACATCCACTGGCGAATCTGTGCCTTCTGCCATGCATTTTCTTCTTATCTTATTTGCCCCAAATGCTTCTTCATAGATTCTGCAGTGTTTCCCTTCCATGCTATTTTTTACTCTATAACTTTGTTGTGCATCTTATCTTATTTGATCCTTATATTCATATATAGCTAGATCTTACACTCTTTCCTTGATGGAAAGAGAAAAAGGAAAGAATGGACCACCAGAAGGAGGTATCTTGTGAAACAATGATACCATTTGTCTTGATGTGTTATGTGTTGGCCAACTAATAACCAGCATATCAATCTTGATTTATATGCTCACCACAGATGGACAATGAGAAACACTGGTCTTCATGATTTTTTGTGTAAATTCATAGCTGAAATTTGAGAAGTTGGATAGGATTACTTATCAACTAGCTGCCAATGACTAATTTGTATGAAATTTTTTCTTTTTTTTGGCAGGACCAGAGAGTAATGATTCCTTTGTTGACTCAAGAGGATCGAGGAGTGACTCCATGACCAACTCAGCTAGAGGTTTAGTGACATATTATACATGATGGATGAAACAAAAACAGTGGATTTGGCTTGTTTATCCTCCCACTAGCAATGCAACACCTTGCTTCATGTCACTCAAGGGATCATTTATTAAACTCATGTATCAGTTTCAAGGACAACAAAATAAAAGATTTGATTTGGTCATGTCCACCTAGGAATGAAATCTGGATCTGGCAAGCCAATGGTACCAAACTGTGGACTCACACCCCCAAACTGATTTGATTAGAAATCTAAATTGGTGTGTTATCTTCACATGATTGCATGTCTGATTTTTCTATTAATTTTCTCCCTCCGTGTGTCAAACAAACTCAGATGCATGGTCACAAAGAAGGTACATTATATCTGATCAGAAAGTTCCAAGTCTCATTTACTGAGAACTCATTTCAATCCATGTGGTGATGGGCAGAGCATGAGCTGCATGCTCGTTGAAAAAGACATTGAAGTCATCTGCCCATCGATTGTTGAACAAGGAACAGAAGTTGAGTTCCATTGAGTCTGAAATATTTCCACTGCCTGACTCTCCAAAGCTTCAAGTTCTTTAAGAGCTGTTAAAGTCCTCAAAACTGAGCTTAGCAAGCTATGAATTAATATGAATTTGACACAATCACATTGTTTCAAGACAACTATACATATGTATATTACACAAATTAAGCTACATGGAACAATCCATTGTTCTAGTTCAAAAACAATAATCTGACCAGGTCAAACTCAACATGATTAACCCAATAGGACCTGTGAATCCTCACCTTTTCTTTTCTTTTTTTCTTTCTTTCTTTTGTCTTTTGACTTGTACTGTGGCCAACAACCAAATGTCATTAAAGAAAGCAAGTTCAATGCAACTACACCTCAAAAGCCAATCTTTTTTGCTTTCTATAAAACAAACATGCCATTGGGCCATTTCCAGTTTCTATTTGATGCAGTGGCTATTCTTTTTCGTTGGTTTTGATAAAGGTGTGACAACAAAGTTAATTTGGTGAAGAAAAAGAGAGAGAAGGATGGTGATAATGTTCTATATCAAGCAAATGTCACTTCTTATAGATAAATTTTAATCCAAATGCAAACTACAAGTTATGGAGGAATCTTGACCAAAGATAAATAGTTTGGATATATGTAAATTAAGATTTACGGAGTCATAAGTTGCATCATTCACTTCACAAATTATAATGAAATGCCACATTCAATATACACAAACTACTTTGTTAGCTTACCAAAATGCCAAGTGATACTTAATTTTGTTATTGGTTACTATATATGTAAATCAAGGGAAAAGCTTTATGGTATGCTTAAAACTTGATGCAAATCCATCCATAATATGAAGAAAACAACAACATAAAAAATAACATATATTTCCCTCCTTTTAGGTTACTCATACTGACACAGTTCTAGGAGTTCCATTATCTCACAACATTAAGCTTTAGCAACCCTCCTCATGACCACAGCAGATATTACTCTACTAGTGCAGTCCAACATGTGATTTGGATGTTCTTGATGAAACAGCATCCTTGTTGACATTTTAATAACCCATGGGAGGGTGAAGACTTGTATCTCTGGAAGCAGATGAGCAGATCAACCTTATTCAATCTAATTAAAAAAAGATCTTAGATGTTTGGCATTTAAAATGCTTTTTCTCCACTGAAGTTTTTAGTTTTGTGGTAACAGATACTTGAAGTGGGTGAGAGGGCCATCAAAGACTTGCTTGATAGCATCATAAGACTGATTTGAAGAAGCTAATACTAACTTACCAGCTCTTCCAATTTGCTAAGAGATGGTATATATTTGCATGCTATCATCAGAAAACTCATCACCAAAAGGCATGTTTCTTGTGCTGCTTTATCTATCTACCTGCTCATGCATGCATGTTCCAATGCATCCCTTTTCTTATTGCTGATATCAGTCGTGAAGATAAAAGAAGGTGGTGGCTGAAGATTTGGTCTTCTTATGCTATCAAGTCTTGCCAGAGTTTGAGATGTACCAGTTATCTGCCAACTATGCATGATTCTGCATTCCTTTCCTTATTACTGAGATCACTTGTGAAGATAAAGAAGTGCTCTCTAAAGATTTTGGTGTCTTATTAGAGATAAAGAAGGATTGAGGAAGATACATGAGAGAGAGAGAGAGAGAGAGAGGGGCAAATCTGGAGATATCACATGGAATTGCCTCCCAAATGTCTGTGGGGTAATGTGACATGGCAACGAAGACCACACGATTAAGATTTCACCCAACTGGAAAATGGTGGGGCCAGCTGACATCAGCGTATCTAAGGCCAGAATCAGGTGGGCCACCACCACTGCCACTGCTACCTTTTAAAGCCACCCCAAATCACATGGCTAAAACCATTCGTTGCTAACTTGTCCCTCGGGAACTCCCCAACCCCATTCCCTACCTCACCCTTCACGAGACCCCCACACTACTCTTACGGCTCGAGGAATCATGATCTGTGTGAGTCTTCCTTTAAGTTAACTGCTGCTGAGGGTGGAGTTTAGATATGCCTTGTACTAAGAACAGCGTAAGATCACCAATATATTACATGTAGTGAGAGAAATACAAGTCTCTATCTTTGTTTGGACATGGGGAGATATGGGTGAAATCTGGTGGATCTTCCTTTCCAAGAGGAGGTGGGATTTGGTGGGTTGGAAATTGGCTTATATTTCAGTACCTTGCTGGCTTGTAGAGTCCATTTGGAGTGAAGAAACCGAGACTCCACCTCCTCTGCCTTCTTCTTCTCTAGCTCTTGGCCATTGTTGGGAGGGGGGAAGCTCATGGCTGTTGTTGCAGAAGCCCAATTCCATGTGCTGGCTGTGGATGACAGCCTCATGGACAGGAAACTCATTGAGAGGCTCCTAAAGACTTCTTCCTTCCAAGGTACCAAACCTCTGGTGATGCCAGTGATTCCTGCTTTGAATTGGTTTCCTTTCCTTCTCTCTTTGACAAGTTGGCGGTGGTGCCTGCAGTCACCGCTGTGGATTCTGGGAGCAGGGCTCTTGAAGTCTTGGGGTTGAGCGAGGACCTCACAAGCTCCGCAGCCGTCTCTCCAGCTCACAATGTGATTGCTTTCTTCTTTTCTGTGTCATGGATCCTTTTGTTCTCCCTTTCTTTCTTTTTCTGAAACTGGGATTGTTTCTCTTCTTCTTACAGGAGATCGAGGTAAATCTGGTCATAACAGATTACTGCATGCCTGGGATGACAGGGTATGACCTTCTCAAAAAGATTAAGGTACAGTCGATGCTCCCTCACATTTCCATTTCATGGACATGTTTCAAGAGATTTATGGGGAGCTTGTTCATTTCACATAAGGGTTCATCATCTTTGAAGGACATCCCAGTAGTGATCATGTCATCCGAAAATGTGCCTTCCAGGATAAACAGGTGAGGAATGATCAGCAAATTCCTTCCTTGTGGTGGCAATTTCTTTTGGAAAAGTTGCTTGAGATATGATGATTATTTACCAGGAAGATATATGATGTTCTTGAAGATTCTGAAATAATTACTCTTTGGTTGGTTGCTTGTCACAGTCATGCATTTGGCTATCATTCATCAGAGGAAAATTTCCCTCAAATTTTTAGGCCATAAATCCTGCTTGAATTAAACATTTGCATCATTATTTAAAAGATTTATTTTTTTGATTGAAACATCCTGATTGACACCAACAAAATCAAAATACAAGAAGAGAAATTCAACTACTCTTCTTGATTCTGGAAAGAATATTATTCTTGATGCCAAATTTGGTAAAAGGGTCCTTTTTGGTGCTCATGAATGAAGCAACACATCCTGATGTGATGATGGGACTTGATATTGCCAATGCGAACTGGAGAGGTTTTCTTCCTTCAATTAAGAACCCTTGATAAAAGGAAAAAGAAGCAGATTTGGGTTCTGCATTAATTAGAACCTTCTGATATCTCTCTATGCTTGCCCATACTTGAGGAACTTGTGGTCCTATGCATTTTTATTCCAATAAATTTTATGTGATGGAAAAGTTGCCTAGATGTCATCTGTTCTTGTGGTCAAATCAGGGAAGGAATCAGGGGAAAAGACAATCCTTTTCTGCAACTTAGTCAAACATGTCATAATCTTTTCCTTGCTCTTGTTAGATTTGCTCAATATTCTGAAGTTGATGTGATGAGAAAAAGAAGGGGAGAGAGAGAGACCCCACCTGTGGTGTCTGTATCTTTACATCTAAGGTGGAATTGCTTTGATGTGTGCTGCTCGCAGATGCCTGGAAGGAGGAGCAGAAGAATTCTTCCTGAAGCCAGTGCAGCTCTCAGACATGAAAAGACTCAGGCCTCACATACTGAAGGGGAAATCAAAAGAGCAGCAGCTACAACAAGAAGAAGAAACCAGCAACACCAGCATCAGCAGCAACAAAAGAAAAGCCAGGGATGAGGAACTCTCACCTGAGAGGAGAAGACCGAGACTGTCTAATAATAGCTTGATATGATTACACACATTCATCAACCAGAAAGATCATTAGTTCCTTTTTCAGGTAGCATTAGTGTTGCCAGGAAATTTACATACAAATACCTCCAAATGATGCAAATTTTGTGCTGCTCGAAGCTATCGAGAATTAGGAAATGTAAATTGTTGAAGGATGAAGTCGATAATAAACTAGATTTATGAAAAACTACATCGAGTTGCCTCATGCTGTCTGATATCATTGTTTCTTCTGCAACTTGGAAAAAAAAAAAGGAACTAGAAATAATCTGATTGGATAGTACACTAGTAAAGCTTCTGATTCAGGCTTTTGCTCAGTAAAATGATGGAAATGTCAGGAGCAACAGGTTGAGCTAATGTACATCTTTTTGTTGCTAGTAAGCACAATACAAAGCAATAGTAACAAGAGGGATATCAGTAAAGTTCAACACTTTTGACATTTCAGAGAATCTAGATTCAGTCAGTCTAAAACAATATAAAATGCATCCTTGCAGGAAAAGATTGTGAAAATTCCAACATTATTCTTCTATACTTTCGGCAAAACTTAGAATTTAGTATTCACAAGCCAAAGTAAAGTTTGAAGCTAAGGATTGAGTTCTTGCTTTGAGTTTACATGTCTGTGCAGCAAGAGAAGAACGCAAATAATTTAAGTACTTGTATCACTGCATCAGAATATATGTTTCCTCTCATATTAGAACAGGATAATAAACCAAGAACAGATTAGTGATGCAGTAATCACTCTGAGAACAATAAAAAAAAAAAGAAGACCACTAAATTAAAAAGAAAGAGTCAATGTTGCAAGTCTATCTATCTTCTGGTCAAGATATGTTTGGTGAAACTTCAACTTGGAGATCTAGAATGACTTCACCTATCAAATCCAATGATGGAACCACATTGAAGGAAGACCCTCATCCATGATGTCAACGAAAACAGGATGGAAAACTTGGGTAGAAGTTTCCAAGTTGATTACCAGCATATGGAAAGGAAATCTAGAAGACTTGGCTCGAGGCCTCTTGCAAGACTCATCTTAACTGAAGTCCAAAGTTTAAGCTTATTTAAGTTGTGGGTTGATAATATAAAAGCTCCACTTTCTTTGATCTCTAAACTATATAAACTACTCTTAATCTTATCTCAATCTTTACTTACACATGATTTCTTTTCAACATTCAAGTCTATCACGTCTCCCTAAGATTATTCTTTTATATTTGTCAGTATATTTATCTATTATGATGCAGCTCATCTTCACTTAAATCAAATCTAGTAGGAATAGATCATTATGATAAATGCTAAAGAAGTTGTCTTTCAATATGAGGCAGAGTTCAGGATTCAATATATCTACTGGAAGCTCTAACTAAAACAGAGCTCTTTCAAGTAGCAGACCACAGGCCATCCCCAAGATGCCTCCAGCTGCATTCTGCAAGTGTGATAAGGTTTATGCTACTTAAGCAGTCATCAAGAACAAGGTGGAAATAATTTATGTGGAATTTTAGTAAGGAGATATATTTTTCCCTGAGTACTCACTATTACAGTGTGATCAAAAGGGAAGCAGCAAAACTGATGAAATGACATAACATGTGACAATGAGATCATAAGCAATATATAGTCCGAATAAACGTTCATATCAGACTATCTTATGCAGAACTTTTTTGAGAATTTAATGGTCATTTGCTTACTGACATATGATATAGTGCAAATTCTTGGAAAAGAAAAGCCCCTATTTTATGAATTTCCATTTTTTCAATAATATCGTAATTTCCCTCAAACTATAAAGATGACTTCTTTTGGTGGAACATATGAAGAAAAATAGTACAAAGATATTTCTATAAGGGGAGAAAAATTAAGCATTCTATGAAAATTTCAAAAAGAGAGGCATTTAGCAGGGAAAAAGATGAAAGATGAGGCTTTTTTTTTTTTAAGAATTCACCCAAAATAATATAGTGTAGATGATGTCTTTTTTTTTTTTGGAGGAAAATGACTAACTCATAAGTCTGACCTACATATGGATCATACCAAAAAGGCATTTTATAGGTGGATGCTGTTCTCCTTGGTGATAGATAAAAGATACATGTAGGCAAAACAAAAAGGAAGATATGGGTAAAGATTTGCTTTTGTAAGGACATACAATATCCATAAAAATATTTATGGAAACCTGTTGAATAAGCAATAATGGAAAGTATTTAAATCTTGGGTGTCCATCAGATAGATATGATATCAGTATATTTAAGATATAGTGTTCAACATCATAAAGAGAGAGAAAAAGAAAAAAGAAAATTGAACACAGATTTCTACCAATATATATTGTCCATTATATGGTTCATGGTCAGACTGGAAACACTGATAGCAACAAATCAATTTGATGAGACGCTGGATAAAAATAATAACATTAAATTGCAGAGTCATTGAACAGTACAACAAGCTTAAAAGAAAAATCACATGACCTCCTGCTTATTTTAGTAAAATCACCAAATGTAGCCAGATAAATAACACAGGAAACATAATTATAGTAAATCCAGCAAATATTGTCTGCTTAATAACACAAACACTTATATCGCTTCAATTGGTCAACTGCAATGTTCAGTTGATCTAAATATTCAGCATTTGTTCTGAAGCCGAAGGGTGAAAGCCTTGAGCGATAAAAGTAGTTGCTTTAGCCGTTCTTTAATCTCAGGATCAATAAGATTTCCATCTCTGTCAAATTTTGGTGGAGGCTGGAATGCATGGACAAAGAGTTCCGGCTTGTTGATGAAATGAAGATCCAGAAAAACTCCAACCTGGCGAAGATGGAGCTGAGAGTTTCCTCCTCCAAAACCACCACCAGCGCTTATAATAGCAGCAGGCTTGTCTGCCATTACGTTTGGAGGTCTTGATGCCCAGTCAATAGCATTCTTTAAAGGACCTACATATAAACAAGAAAAAAGGGTGAAGACATCTATAAACCTGTTTTGTACTTTTGTGGGGATCTGACAAAATGCACATTTCATCCAAAATCATCTATCTGAATATCCTGAACTAGTTGATGCTACCAAAGGGAGTGTGATGATGCCATACACATATGTAAGAGACTCCAGCCCATCATGAAATTGCTAGATTTAAGTGAATGCAGATGGACAATTTAATCTGATACTAAGAGAAAAAGCAACATCTAGAATCTGCAACACATGTAAGACCCTTCTTTTATGAATACTAATAATTGAATGTTAGTTTACAACCTAAGCATTCTTGAGCTTATTTAACTTAAAGAAAATGTTTATCAGGTTGTCAACTCGATCTTGCTTGCCAACTTAGATTAATGTCTTATAGAGGCTCATTATGCCAGCATGCCAAGCTAATCGACTCACAATATCGGGAAATACATTGAAAATTTAGTAGAGAAAGAATGATCACTAATAGGTTCATAACATTGTCCACTTTTATCCAGTGCAACAGATGATCATTTTCATTGCCAAAGTTTGATGAACATGTACAGATTCAAAACCATTACAACCATGGTAACTGACATACAGGGTATGAGATGTGAATTATGCCTTACACATCATTCCAATCATTTTTGCCATTCCTACAATTGTGTTATAATAAACTTGGCATAAAGTAAGAAGTGTTAGAGGAAGTCCTCTATCCTGTGGTAAGTGGATAAAATTTAGTTTTATAGCCTGAGAAGTGCTTAACATTAAACATCTCTTCGAAATAGTACTGTATTACTGATCTAGGATATGAAGCATAAGGGTATGCCATAAAAGGACCAGCCTAGAAGGATGACATGAACACGTGGAGGAACAAAGCTATCTTGTGAGTTTCTTCTTTCCTTTATTTTTCATTATTCCTTTCATTGTTCACCTAAATATAATAATCTATAATCAGTATGTAGTTATTCAAAAAATTATGTATCAAGGTTTTAAATACCAATCTAATATTGATTTCAACAACCTATCAAATTGGCATGCTACCACCATATACCAATATGTAGAGCAACATTAAGAACCTGTACATCCCAAAATAACAGGAAAGATAATAAAAACAAAGAAATATTAGAGAAATTCTAAGCTGTATGACCTGCTGCCAGTGCTTATTTGGGCAGTCCTATATGATCCAAAATAACTAGAAAAATGATAAAAATAAAACAAATTATGAGTGGCACCAAGCAATTCGAAGCTGTATGATCTGCTGCCAATTTTTATTTGAACAGCTATTATAAACCATGGTGTCTGTGGCTTCGGAGTTTTAAGAGTTTCGAAGTGTTTTGTATGCTGGATCAAGGATATCAATGGAAGTTATAGGTTGTAACTCATCAATATAGGGACATATCTAATACCAATTTCAGAAAAATATATCTTGCAAAGGATGTAAAAATTACTTCATGTTTCTGGTACTAAATCACCAGAAATGATGAAGGTTGCTATTATTTAATATCAGTTTCATAGAACTATATCTTGCAAAGAACAAAAACAATTGGCTTCATCCTTCCTTGCAGAAGGCTTTACCATTTAATTCATGAACGAAAAGACAATCAAACTAAATCTAAAGCAAAAGTGTGTCCGTCTGCATTAGTGTTATCAAGGACATACTTACAGGGCGCATCAAAGAACTCCCTGCACATTCACTACAAAATCATTTAGTTTGTGCAAGGCTAAGATGTCTACGAGAACAAATAATTTAACAGACAAAGTGGCATCAGAAAATATATAAAAAATCAAAAGAATCCGCAACACAATCGAAAGAAAGGATCTTTAACAGAGTACAGAGCAGCAGCAATGAAGAAGACGATCAAACGAGAACCAATAGGGTTTAAGGCAAGTTTGGATTTGGATGGTGGGTTACCCGTGAAGGAGTAGTTGTACTCGGGCGAAGCAAATAGGATGGCGTCGGCTCCGCGGATCGTCTGCCGGAAGGCCTCCACGGGCTCGGGGAACGTGCCGTCGACCTCGAGGTCGGTGTTGACGAATGGGAGCGGCGCGATGTCCACGTACTCGATCGTCATGCCCTCGATGGACTCGTCGCATAGCTGAATGGCTACAGAGGAAGAAGAACAGAGAAAGGGAATCAGAACTAACAGCTTCACAAGGAAGAGGGCAACGGGAAGAGGGTTGAGGGTGGCTTGCCGGAGCGGATGAGGCCGCAGTTCATGGAAGCCTTGCGGAGGGAACCGCAGAGCGCTGCCACCTTCACAATCGGTCTCGTCGCCAAAGCCGCCGCTTCCATCTCCTCTCTCTCTCTCTCGCTCTCTCTCTCTCTCTCTCTCTCTCGGCTTGCCTCCCTCGATCGCTGCGACGGATGCTCTGCTGGTGCAAGGCATCGGCCTTTAATATATAGATATCATATTCCCATTGTTTCGGGCTACGTTTGGAACGAGATAAATATTATTGTAAAAGTAAAACGGGCATTTTACCGGATGCCTTTTTTCTCTCGGACGAAATTATTCAGACATTGACTCGATTTGACTTTTGGACAGAATGAACCGATTTTTTTAGGATGAACTGATTTTATAAAATTTTATTTAATCAAATAATACTCTAATTTTAATTAAATTATTTTTAATCTTTGAACCTATTAATTTTTTTAAAAAATTCAATAATTAATTATCATAAAATTATTAAAAAATATATTATTAATCATCTTAGAATCATATCCTGTCAGTTTTATAAGAGTTTTTATTATATTTTTTTATTTGTTAAAGTTTGAATTTATTTAGTGAAATTTGATCAAGTTTATAGTGAAATTTAATTACTTTCATTCTTTGGTGTGTTTTTGTTATAAATTGTTCAAATTAAAAAGAAAAAAAAATTCTTTTCAAAAGATTTATTTGAAAAGGTGATTTTTTTTTAGTTATTTTGGTAGTTATTTTTGAAAGGTTGTGTGTTTGAGAAAATATCTATAAATAGGTATTTGAGGGTAAATCATGTAGACATCTCTTTCATACTCTTATTCTTTATTTTCTAAGTGATTGAATTAGACTTTCTCTAATTTCTATTTGAAGATTCTGTTTACTCAATACGGATCTTCTAAAGGCTTGTCATATCCACTAAAATTATTTGCATCAAACCCATAACAATCTTATTGAGAAGAAGGTACAAATATTATTTTTAGGAAAGTGTTTATACACGTTTCAAGTCTAAATATTTCCTATAATATTCTTGATCTTATGTTTGTTATTTGTTTTCATAGTGTTTTTCATCTTCTTCTTTATCGTATTTTCCAACATTTTTTGAGCTGACAGATATCTGTGTTTGAAACCTATTATTCTAAGTAAAGGATAACTTAAAAACTACTTTTGAGGACAATGCTAAACATGCCTCGGACTCAACAGTCTTCCTCCATCAATGAACCATCATCCTATTCTTATTATTGTGTGAGTTGGTGGTAATGTTTGACTCTTTCTACCTCTCTAAAATATTATTCTAGTGGCAAGCAGCAGCACATTTCACCTTGTCTTTGTGACTTCCTTCAGCACTAGGGTTGGTTGGCAGCTGATATTGGCAATACACATTCTTTTTCTTGACTGGTTTCGATCTCGGCTTCTGAGAGAAGAAGTCAGTGAGGGTGTGCGAAAGCTGAGATGAGGACGCCGATTTGACCAAGCTAGGCTAGTTGGGAAAGTCAAACTTGCGATCTAAGCTTTGCTACTTCGACAAGTCTGGGTTAAATCCAGGCCAAATTTGAATTCAAGCATCAACCTCATGGAGATGGATGTTGACCATTCTAATCTTTTGATTCATCATGTGCTTGCTTGAACTGGTTTTACCTTAAGTGATACCAATGGGAAGGTGATCTTCATATATATCCTTGTCAAATGATAAACCTTGTAAATCTACCTTTGGCTGTAAATTAAAATTCTTAATGATATACGATTGATCTTGGATAGTTCAGCATAGACATTCCTTCATGACATGGTTCAACTGGACAAGCACACATGGAATTATTCTTACGTGAACTGCAAAAGGTTTACCAAGTAGCACTAGTACTACTACTACAGAGAGAGAGAGAGAGAGAGAGAGAGAGCAGAGACAACGGATGAGCATAACACTCTCTCGATCCTCTTCATCACTACACCATCTTCTACTCAAGACGCAACAGCGGAGGGCTTCTCCTTGGACTTAACACCAGAGCTTTCCCCGCCGGGCGGCAGCGCCTTCCTTGCAGCATCACCACCCAGGGACTTCCCACCGTCAGCATTGCCATGACCCGCGCCCTCAGGCGCCACCTTGGGCGGCGGCTCCTCCTCCGCCGTAACGTCGAACGACGCCGGGAGAGACTGGGAGGCTTGTCGCCGGTGGCGTGACATCGCGCGATCGCAGCAGCGCAAACTGCTCGCTACTTGTTGATAGGGATGAGCGAGAAGAAGATGTATAAGGGATCGATGGATAAGTGTTAGGTGAGGCCACGGTGTGTCGCAGACATGGCTCAGCTACTGCTCGAGATCTTTCCGTGGCCACAGGCCATGGTAGGTCCGACCGAGGGAGCCAAATCCACGCCGTGGACTGCATGCTTCGGCGATCCATCCATCCGTACTCCCAATAATGCCTTGTGCCTCGTCATGAGCCTCTCGGGATGCCCAACATTTCTTGGACCTACTCGTATTATTTGTGGGGGTTCCCTGTACTTTGTCGCCCCGTCGTCAACAAGCCACAAGCCCAAACGCTATCGGACAAACTCCCATGGCCACAATTCTACCTGCAACGCCATTTACTCGCTGATCCAAGCGACCGGCTGCCAAGGGAAACAGTTCCAAGGCCCGGAGAAGGAAGACAAAGTAATCGTTGAATGAAAGGTGAATTCAAAGTTGTCTCTAACTCAATTATTAGTGATACCTTCCATCCAGTTCTTCTTCCCAATCTGCCACAAGCAAAGGTGAGTGCATGGAAAGCATCCAAACTGCATCTTCTAATGGAAGGTTATCATCTTGAGCTGTTTAGGGTTGGCTCTTGTTCACCCATTGCGCCAACTTTTAGCCTTGCCTTTTCATGGCCGTGCAACATGAACCAAGAACATAGAATTATAGAGGCAGAGAGTAATCATGTGCAAATGATTGGTGTTCGAGTACAATAAGTTGGTCATCCTCTTGGCCAACTAGAGGAACCATAGCCTATTTATTAGATATCTCCATGATGATTGCATAGGTGGGTATCAATTGGTTAACTATATTGTAGCATTGTTTCAATCATGATAGTGGACCCAAATATGTTTGAGAGAGATTAAATCGAACGAGAGAAAGAAAAGAGAAGCAACTTATAGGAATGTTATTGATAACTTGAAAATTGCAATGTTTAATGGTGGCAATGACATTTTAATAAACAAACACACCCATTCTTTCTCTTGTTTCTAATAGAGCTTATCACTTATGCATCACTATAAAATTCTCTAATAGACACTTTTTTTGTGTGTCTACTTTCAGAGAAACAAATCAAATTAGTTTTTAAAATTGATCATATTAAAAAACATCAACTTAAGATTTACATGATTTGACACTTTTTTTTATCTATGTCTATGGAGAGAAAATAAAATTTTCACCATGATAGAATATTTATAAAATAATTAAATTATAATTTTAAGAGTTTTTTTCTTTTATGTAGAAGTCTTTTCATACTTGAAATTTTTTTTTACCTTATCAAATCCAACACTTTTATCTTCTTTTTCTTTTTCCATATTTATAAAAATTATAAGGTTGATTTTTAGATTTTTTTTTTCAGAAAACTTCTAGATTCAATTTTATTAATATAATTCATCGTGCCAACACATTATTACATGCTGCCAAAAACCGGATGATTTCACCCTTTTATTTTTTTTTTGTCTACCATCATCAGCAATGACTCAAAGCACTTTGATAAAAAAATCAAATTAATTTTAAAAGCTAATAATAAAATATAAATTAAAAAAAAAGCGATTTACATGGGTTGATACTCTTTATCTATGTACATGAAAAATAAATAAATTCTTCATCATGATAAAATATATATATAATAATAATCTTTTCCATCTTGATTTTTTTTTTCATCTTATTAAATCCAACACTTTTATCTTTTTTTTCCCCATATTTATAAAAATTATAAGGTTCATTTTTAGATTTTTTTTTATAAACATCTAGATTAAATTTCATGAATATAATTAGTTACGCCAACACATATATACTACACATTAATCTCTGATCTTTTGTCTTTGGCAAAAGTAAATAAAAAAAATTAATTATATATATGTTTTTAAAGAATAAATGATGAAGATAAGATCTGAGCTCAAGATATTATTATGATGATTCATCAAAACCTTTATCAACTACGCTATGTATTAGTTAGACAATACCTTTCAACATGTGATTTAACTAATTATGATTCAACTTGTGATATATATTTTAATACAACAGATAATATAGTATATTAGCTAATTATGGTGGTTTAGTGAGGTGCATCCAAACTACACGTCTTCGTTGACGACAACCATACGTTCATAGTCGGTGGCTGCCACGTCGACGACGTGCATACCTTCTCATTGCACGGGCGATTTATACTTGCTATAAGATATTAGGGAGCCTCGCCGACCGACAGTCTTTATGATTAAACCATCTCATGTGGGGCCCGCATCCAATGGCAAGCAACTTGGAACTGACGGTCCACGAGTACGCGCCACGTAAAGCGTTACGTAACCACGTAAAAAATGAACACAAATAAAGAAATAATTAATTAGCTAATTAATATTATTTGGACGAATTCCCTTAAAAAGTTCGGCTTTTTCCCAACAGCACCCACACTTCGAAAAAACAAAATACACAAGCAACGTTCAATGATTAGCTATTTTAACTATTCATTTCGATGTTGTCGTCGAAACCTTTGCCGATACTAACTTCTCGTTTTTGCTAAGTCTTCAATCTTCTACTCCAACTGCAATGTGTCTCTTGATTCCCAACTGCTCTCCGCTGTTGTTGTTGAGTAGTCGAATTTTTGATTTGCTATGTTATTTCAACTCGTTAATGACTCTGACTCTCGTGTGATGTTGACTAAGTTATGTTGATCTTTGTTGGTTCCAGCGGATCCTTCAGAAGAGGAAAAGACCGTTATTGGTAGTAGGGAAAGGAGAAGATAGTGGATGATTTTGAGAAGATATAATAGAGCCTATACGACATAGACACATAGCGAAGCTCATCGTATTTACTATCATTGTATTATGAAGAATCTTATGGCTAATGGCAATACGGTGATAGTTAGTTATACTTCTTTTAGTAATAGTATAGTAATTGATCGTATGATATGGAGCAACAAATCAATGATAAAAGTAGAAGTTCCAATATTATTCTTCATCATTCACACCAGTACATGTACAATTATACTTGTCTTAAGAGGTACCTCAAGCACATGTGATTTACGATAACTAGACTATGACCATCACCACATCAATGCACCAATAACATACAGTGTATTGGTATACTATGTATTAGGATTATGTTCGACAAATATATCAAATTGATATACATATATATGATCGAGGACCTTGATCCACAAAGCTACTCCTTAGAGTCTGAAAAAGATAAGTGTCACTATTTTATCCTAATTTAAATTATTTTTATAAAAATATACTAATTTTATATTTATTTTTTACTTAAAATATTAATTTATATTTTTTAAGCTATTTTTAGTGATTTTGAGCGTTTTTTTGATACACTTCGACACATGCTATACCAACATTTGGTCGGCACATCGATACATATCGATAAG